TTCTTTCTTTCTTTTTTTTTTTTTTTCTTTCTTTCTTTTTTTCAATTGGTTTTATTCTCTCCAGCTAACATTACTTCTTTTCTTTCTTTCTTTTTCTTTCTTTCTTTCTTTCTTTCTTTCTTTTTCAATTGGTTTTTATTCTCTCCAGCTAACATTACTTCTTTCTTTTCTTTCTTTTTCTTTCTTTCTTTTTTTCTTTTTTTTCTTTTTCAATTGGTTTTTATTCTCTCCAGCTAACATTCTTTTTCTTTTCTTTCTTTCTTTTCTTTTCTTTCTTTCTTTCTTTCTTTTTCAATTGGTTTTTATTCTCTCCAGCTAACATTACTTTTTCTTTCTTTCTTTCTTTCTTTCTTTTTCAATTGGTTTTTATTCTCTCCACCTAACATTATTTGTTGTCCTATTATATTTATTGATTTATCATACTCTCTTTAAGTCTTCTCTTTTCACTTCCTACATTTTTCTCTTTCTTTCTTTCTTTTTCTTTCTTTCTTTTTGTTTTTATCTGTTTTTTTTTCTTTATTTCTTTATAATTTCTGACCATTTTTTTCTATTACTTTTTTGTTGCTTTCTTTCTCTATTTCATTCATTTTTGTATTGTCTTCATTTTCTTTCTATCTTTCTATCTTTCATTCACTTTCTTTCATTTTCTTACATTTGCTTACATTTTTATTTCTAGTAACTTCTTTTGTAGTACATCATTCTTTCCTTTGTTCCCTTTTCTTCTTTCTTCCCCTCAATGTAGTTTGATTATTTTTCTTTCTGTTTTCATTTTAACTCTCCTTTCTTTCAACTAATTCCTTTCTTTCTTTTTTAATTGTAGTTTCTTCCGTGTGAGTCGCTCGTAAATCTTTATTTCATTTTCTTTCTTTCTTTATTTCTTTTTTCTTTTTTATTGATTTATTTAGTTATTTTTCTTTTTTCTTTCATTTTTCTTTATTTTTCTTCGTTTTTGTTTCCTTCTTTCTTTATTTCTTTTTCCTTCTTTCTTTATTTCTTTTTTCCTTCTTTCTTAATTGCTTTTCTATTTCTTTCATTATTTTCCTTCTTTCTTTCTTGTTATTTTTCTTTCTTTTTCAATTTTTTTCTTTTTCATTTTCATTCCATTTTTCTTACTTGTTCTTTCTTTCTCTATAGAGTTTTTTATCTTTTTCTTCTTTTATTTTCTTTCTTTCTTTTTCCTTTGTTTCTTTCTTTCTTTTCTTTGTTTATTTCTTTTATTATTCTTTCTTTATTTCTTTTTATTCCGTCTTTAATGCTTTTCTTTATTTATTTATTTGTCTTTTTGTATATTTATATTTCTTTCTTTTTCCTTTTTCTTCATTAATTTTCTTTTTTTTTCCCTTCTTCCTATATTTCGTTTTCTTTCTTTTTCTTTATTTTTACTTCCTTCTTTTTCCTTCTTTCTTTATTGCCTTTTTGTTTTTTCTATTTTCTTTCCTTTAATTTTTCTTTCTTTCTCCTTCTTTCTTTATTACATTTTCTTTCATTCTTTTTCTTTCTTTTTTCTCTTTCTTTTTTCTTCATTTTTTCTTTCTTTTTCCTTTTTCTTCCTTTCTGTAATTTCTTTCATTTTTCCTTCTTATTTTTATTGTTCTTATTTTCAATAATTCTCTCTTTCTAGCTTTCTTTCATTCTGGCCCTTTTCTTTTTCTTTCTTTCTTTCTTCCTTCTTTTCTTTCTTTCTTTCTTTCTTATGTAGTATCTTCACTTTAGAATACGTTTCCCTTCTTCCTATAGTTCTTTAATTACATTCTTTTCTTTCTTAAGATATTCTTTACCCCTCCTTCCTTGTCTCTTAATTCTTTCTATCTACTTCGCTATCGATCTTTCCTTCAAGAGTTTCATATTTGTTCATTTCCGCCGTTCTTTCAATGTTTGTGTCTTTCAATTTCATTCTGCCTGCAAATGTCTCTTTTTTATGCTTTTCTTGTTAAAAGTAATAATAATAATGTATGAATAGAATTTTTCATTTGCCGAAAAATTAATTGAAATGTCATTTTTTCCTCTCCATTATTTATCTTTACTTTTATTTTTAATATTTAAATTCAAATCCTCTTTATACAGAATTTCCACAATCAAACAGCATATTAAATTATTTAGTAAGCGTACATCGAGTACACTTCTAGCTATCTCAGTTTTTAATTTGAAATAAGGTGAAAATCGACAATAGCTTTTCCAAAAATAAATCAAAAAAGCTTGTTTGAATTTTTAGCAGAATGACAAATACAATTTTGGTGGATTTTTTAGGATTGCTATATCGAATATATTTGCACCCAAAATTAAATTTCAATAACATCTATAAGTACGAACGCCATTTTAAAATAATGAATAAGTTGTGTATAAGAACGATAAAATGTTCTTCTCTGCGCCATGTTCCTACAGGAAATTGGGGATCTAGGCACTCCCCAATTTCTTTTCCTTTGTAGGGAATATCAGGTTCTGTACACTTGGGTGTACCGGAAATATAATAAATAACCTCTCGGAATTGTTAATCGGAGAGCCAAGTTCAATCCCCGTTGGGTTCTTTATATATTTAATCTTAGGCACAAATACCCCTGGGAAAGGTATAAATTCATATCTTGTTCCCCAGCTATGGGTTAATTAATAAGACTTGTATCACTTAACCGTTATTATCTAAAATAATTCTTACAATGTAAATATATTTCCTGGCTCAAATACGCTGCATCTCGGAATGGGAACTCTGAGAGTTCGAATTCCAGTCGGGTTCATTGCACTCACATACTAAATAGACACTGTTATGAACGTTAGTAGGCTTATAGCTACATCACTTTGAAACAGCAGTTTCTGTACGGTCACCGAAATTAAGCAACGTTGAGCTAAATTAGTACTTAGATGGGTGACCGTTTGAGAAAATCAGATGCTGTAATCTTGAAAATTCAGGTGACGCCATGAATAATGGCACCACGTAAGGGCACAGAATTGTTAATCGCAGATCTGAGTTAGAATTCCTAAATTAAATACTTTATATTCAGTTACGGTCAAATATTCTTGGGAAATATATGAATCCATCTCTTGTCCGTCAATTATGCGATGAACAGCAAGACAGACTGGGTCCATTAATCTTGGTTGGCAGTCGGTCTACCTCAGAAAAAAAACGGCGATTTACTAAGATAATTCTTCTGACTAGGCAGTCATGAATCGGAAGAGATATGATAGATAAAGCGTGTATCACATATGGACCTTAAATGAAAGAGTCAATAGTGATTTAGGTGGGGAAGTTGTGGACAGCTATGATCGCCCAATCGGGTATCACGTTTGCCGCATAACTGAAAGTGTCAGCAGTGATTGAGGTGAGGAAGTTGTGGAGAGAGATGATCGACCAAGCGAATATCACGATGACACTTAACTGAAAGAGTCAGCAGTGGTTTTGGTGAGGAAGTTGTGGAGAGACATGATCACATAATCATGTATCACGATAGCACTTAACTAAAAGAGGCAGTAGTGATTTTGGTGAGGAAGTTGTGGAGAGATGATCGACCAAGCGAATATCACGATGACTCTTAACTGAAAGAGTCAGCAGTGGTTTAGGCAAGGACGTTGTGGAGAGACATGATCACATATCGTGTTTCACGTATGGCACTTAACTGAAAGTGTCAGCAGTGATTTAGGTGAGGAAGTTGTAGAGAGACATAATCATGACTGTTATATTGTTTCCTCAATAAATGTTTTTCGTTATAATCAGTTGCTTATTTGTGCGTAGTTCACTCTTTTGTAAGCATTGGTAAATTTCTTATCCAGCAAATCGAATCTTTCGTTCTTCCTTTAACCTCCTGGCCTAATTAATTTTCTTTTTGGCAGAAGACTTTTGATCTACAAAGCCCCCCTTTTTTTTTATTTGCATCCTCAACTTCAAGTCATTGTGCGGGTTTGACAGAAATGCTTATTTTGTATATTTCTAACTGCTTTTTGCTGATCTTTAGATGCCCTCAACAAATACATCATTTTTTTTTCTCAATAGGGTGTCAGCCCTAAAAGCCTTATTGCTGCTCTCTTCACAAACTTCTTAGCTTCGTCTATTAATTGCAGTTTCTAGCGGTTGTTTCCCAAGTTAAGGGTTTAACATTACCGCTATCTTATTTAAATTTCTTTCTTTTTTTTTTTTTTTAGTTTCCAGTTGATTAATAGTAGGGATCTCTTGAGGCATATTTAGCTATGACGAAGAACTTGGTACAGATAAAGGTCACTGGTACCATGTTACGATAATTACTTTCACACTACTACTACTACTTACTCCTGTGTATGACGATAAACTACATCCAGCAGCAAGGCCTCTGATCAGGAGGTTTTGAGGAGCGTGGAACCACCTCTTAATCGCCGTTGTTCCCAGGTCTACTCTGACTAGGGATGGTAGCATATGTTAGGGTCCCAGCAGTGACCCCCCTCCAAGCAAAAATAGAACACTATGAAAGTATAAAAATATATATTTTATAGCAAAATGACCAACAACACATTTTATTGAATTACCAAGAATATATTTTATAATAAAATGGCCAAAAATACATTTTATCTGTAGATGGAGGCATGCATTTCCGTGCAAAATATTTAGATTTCGGCATTAAATAACTCATAGGCTAAACAAAATCAAAAGAAACTACCACTATTATTTTTATTTCCTTTCATATCTGGCGTTTACACATTTCTTTCCGGGTCCCGCCTAGGGACATAAGGTTAGAAATGGCGTCATGACACTTTCCACTGACAAAAAAATAAATAAATAAAAATTACATAGATAAAGCCCTTCGTAAAGTGTGGGCTGTACTTGTCAGAACAATTTTCTGTATCTCCTTGAGGAATGGACTTCCAGGAATCCCTTCAATTAGTCTACTGCAATCTTTTCCAACCAGTCCTAGGGCTTCAACTACAACAGGGATTGTTGATGTTCCCATATGCCACATTTTCGAGATTTCTATTACAAGGTCCTTGTACTTTGACAACTTTTTGAATATCTTCAAATATACATTGCAGTCAGCAGCGACTGCCATATCAATAAGAAGGCACTTTTTTTTGTTTGTGGTCTTTAATAACAATATCTCAAGGGTTGGCTTTTGATTGTTCTGTCAGTGTGTATTGTGTAGTCCCATAGAATTGTAACAGGTCCTATCTCCGTAACCGGATCTGGGTGGTGTTCATACCAGTTTCTTTCAGTTTCCTTCCCGTAGTGTTGACTTCAATGTTCACTTTTATATTTACATACGCTCTATATCTGATATTGAGCACTTTATCCCATAAATATAGCACACCTTAAGAGTATATCTCTTTGTATATATATATATATATGTGTGTGTGTGTGTGTGTGTGTGTGTGTGTGTGTGTGTGTGTGTGTGTGTGTGTGTGTGTCGGGGGGGTTGTGTGTGTAATATAGTAATTCATCGAGTCTAGAAGAATCCTCAACAGAATACTGAAAGCTCTGGACGGCTGTTTCATCCTATTTGGGAGTCATCAGCATTTTCCAGTGCGGATATTGGCCCACTCTGTCATGCCGGGTTTTATATTCAGTGGGTGCCAATATCGTGCAACCTGATACAAGATGATCAATTGTTTCTGGATATTTATCACAGAATATGCATTTTCACAATATTATTATTATTATTAATAATAATAATAATAATAATAATAATAATAATAATAATGATGATAATGATGATATTTGAGTAAAACAAATATAACAGAGTTGTGTTATGTAGAAGTGAGAGTTTGTTTAATTACCGCACCCCAGGGAATGTTATAACGCCACTAAGACAGAAAGGGGTTATTGAGAATGTAAAGTAATGAGAAAACTTAATGGGGAGAAATATAGCCGGTGCGTACTACCGACCGGTGGGGGGCAAATCTGATTGGGGGTCCCGGGCAGTTCTTTGTGACCCTCGCTAGCTTCTAAGCATTTACTTCTTTTTTCTACCTACATTTACATGCATTGCAAATTAAATTAAGCACAACTATTAAAGGATAAAAACTATTTCGCGGATTTTGACGTCATACTGGTGTCTTTTTTTGTCTAAATCTATGAATTTGTTGTTTATTTTCTTCTTTTTTTGTCTCTTTTTCTTCCTTTCTTTTTATTTTTTTTATTTTTTTTTTTTTGTTACAACGGGTTTAAACGCGACATAAGTGTACTGTGCCCCGTTAAGAGTCTTCCATAGGGTTCCTTAGATTACGTTATTAATTTTTGAATTCGGATTCATTTAAAGAAATGTTTTGGAATCCAAAATAGGAAGAAAATCCATTAAAAATTATATTTTCTTTTTATTCCAATCGATATACTTTTTTTTTTTTAAAGAAACGTTCGTTAAAATAATAAAATCAGAACGATGTTTCTAACAGAGAGAAAAAAATCAGTTATATTGCAATATTTTTCTTATTTTCTTGTACTATCGGTTTCATTAAAACCGGTATTACCTACAAGAAATATTGTCTTGATTATGATTAATGAACAGACGATAAAAAAAAGAATGATTGCTCAGACGAAATATGGCGATTGATGTTGAATCACTATCATCCTCTTCGTATTCAATTACAGAGAAATGAGTCCAACTCGAAGAGCTTCTTCCCACGAACGGCTACGTCGTGGAAACACCTCCCAAGAGCAGCCTTTCCCGACCACAACAGTATGACCTGTACATCTTTCCTGCATATCCTACTAAACTACATCTCTCAACTTTTACTGTTATCTTTTACTCTTACCGCCCATTCAACAAACTCCTTCAGTAAGCCTCTATCTGGAGTGGCGCTTGGGCCTTATTTAGGTAAAGACTACTAAAAAAATAAGGAAATGCGATACGAAAGGATTAAGTATAAACTTAAAATGTAAATTATATGGTTGAAAGCCCAAAGGCAACCTATATATTTGGGACGTAAAAAACAGGTTCAGCAGTTTAAATCTATATATAATGTGTAATTTACCCGACTTGGCTTCGCCAAAAGCGTCCGTTAGGTGGCGTTATTTAAGAATATAAAATGGTAGGCATATACTCTCTGTCTCTTTTGTTTTTCAACATGTAAAACACACCAGCTACACTTTTTGCAGAACGTGCTATATTCTGACACACTGGAAATTCTACAGCCGTCCCATGACAGTATTTTAAACGAGTACATTTCCGTCAACATGTTAGTTACACACATCTCAACTACACCATTTTTTTCTTTTCAGCCTACGAAGGACAGAACAGAGCATACTCGAAATTTTGGCAAAATAAAGTTCTTTCAAGACAAATATAGTAGCATTTTCAAAGACAAAATTGCTGTTTTCATCCGAAAGTTAATTTTTTTTTTTTTACTGGTGAAGTGAAGAAGTCTAATTTTAGTACAATTATCGTTTTTTTTTTTCAATAAACCCAATTTTATCTTGACACCAAAATGTTTGTCTGTGAATATAAATTGATCCAATTGAAAATAAAACTTGCCTAAATTATTCAAGAAACATGTAAATAAAATGTGCAAATATAAAAATAAGAGGTCAGGACTAAATATCTAATGTGTTAGGAACCGCATCTTATACTTAGAAAGTTGAAATTATATATATATATATATATATATATATATATATATATATATATATATAAGCATTACGTCCCGAGCAAGGTGTGAAGCCACTAGGATGCAGGGGTTGCAGAAGATTTGGAGCAAGAACAGATAGGAGTGATAGAAGAAAGGATGTCGGAGAAGGATAGTGGATAGATCAAGGTAACTGGAGATGTCGATTGACATTACATTTGAATAGTTGGAGATTATAGCTCTCAGGGAAACAGTAATTGGGAAGGGTGTTCCACAGGCGAGAGGTGCGAGGTATGAAGCTATTGGAGTAGAAGAGACGGCTATATTTAAAAGTTTCTACAGTGTAAGGGTGGGAGTGGGATGCCAGCCTCGTAGGGCGCTTGATTTCATGGAGTCTGGGAACCAGTGAAAGCAGCTCATCGGAGCAATTACCATGAAAGTATTTGTAAAAAAGACAGAGAGAGGCGACGGCGCGTCTGTGAGAGAGTGACTGTAGATGAGACGCCAGATAAGGGCCAATTATATTACATATCCGTCTCTGGATATTGTCAAGAACTCCGAGGTAAAGAGAAGGTGCCCCAGACCATATATGGCAGCAATACTCCATGCAAGGGCGAATAGTTGATTTGTATATTAGAAGTATCGATTCCGGGGAGAAAAATTTCCTGGCGCGGCACAGGGAGCCAACTTTCCTCGCGGTGGACGAAGCAATTGACTCAATGTATTTGTTCCATCTCAGGTCAGCAGTCAACGTGACACCGAGCAGACGCAGGGAGTTGCTCTCAAGAAGTTGACTATCAGACATTCTAATGGGGGGCAAGGAGGGATCTTTATGATGATTAATAGAGTTTGAGGCGTTAAAGTTGACCAGCCAATTCTTGCCCCAATTAACATATATACATACTTTATAAATTAATCGGGTACAGTATTATGTAAATATATGTATATATAGATATATATGAAATGTTGTTAATGATGGGTTCCAAGAGGATTAATAGTCGTTGCATATTCTATTAATATTCGTAAAATCTATTTTAATCGGGTCAATATCTTTGTTGGAGGATTTTTTTTTTATATGTCCTCTACTATATACTTATAACTCTGTCTCATAACATTGAGTTCTAAATAATTTAAAACACCCGAGGAAGGAATATATTTATACGTACGCGCAGGTATATGTACGTGTATGCATATTTTTATCGTACCCATATATATATTTAACTTTAAAAATCAGGAGGTCAGTTGAATCCACTACCTTGGTTTCAAACTTCCGGCATCTTCCGGCGATTTTTATCAAATGACCGCTTAACGGATTCTTTAAACTAATGAACGCTACATTATTATTTTTAAAAATAAACAAAGGCTCGACGTTGGGTGTAATAGAAAGAGAGGAGAAGGATGTGGAAGAAGATGAAGAAAAAGAAGAAGGGTGAAGAAGAAGAAGGATGAAGAAAAAGAAGAAAGGTGAAGAAGAAGAAGGGTGAAGAAGAAAAAGAAGAAGGGTGAAGAAGAAGGAGGAGGGTGAAGAAGAAGAAGGAGGGTGAAAAAGAAGAAAAAGAAGAAGAAGGATGAAGAAGAAGAAGGGTGAAAAGAAGAAGAAGAAGGGTGAAGAAGAAGAAGAAGGGTGAAAAGAAGAAGAAGGGTGAAGAAGAAGAAGGGTGAAAAGAAGAAGAAGGGTGAAGAAGAAGAAGAAGAAGGGTGAAAAGAAGAAGAAGGGTGAAGAAGAAGGGTGAAGAAGAAGAAGGTTGAAGAAGAAGGGTGAAGAAGAAGAAGGGTGAAGAAGAAGAAGGGTGAAGAAGAAGAAGAAGAAGGGTGAAAAGAAGAAGAAGGGTGAAGAAGAAGAAGGGTGAAGAAGAAGAAGAAGGGTGAAGAAGAAGAAGGGTGAAGAAGAAGAAGACGAAGAAGAAGAAGGGTGAAAAGAAGAAGAAGGTGAAGAAGAAGAAGAAGAAGGTGAAGAAGAAGAAGAAGAAGAAGGTGAAGAAGAAGAAGGGTGAAGAAGAAGAAGGTGAAGAAGAAGAAGAAGAAGAAGAAGAAGGATGAAAAGAAGAAGAAGGGTGAAGAAGAAGAAGAAGAAGGGTGAAGAAGAAGAAGGGTGAAGAAGAAGAATGGTGAAGAAGAAGAAGGTTGAAGAAGAAGAAGACGAAGAAGAAGAAGAAGAAGAAGAAGGGTGAAAAGAAGGAGAAGGGGAAGAAGAAGAAGAAGAAGGTGAAGATGAAGAAGAAAGGGAAGAAGAAGGGTGAAGAAGAAGAAGAAGGGTGAAGAAGAAGAAGAAGAAGGTGAAGAAGAAGAAGAAGGGGTGAAGAAGAGGAAAAGAAGAAGAAGGTGAAGAAGAAGAAGAAGGGTGAAGAAGAAGAAGAAGAAGGGTGAAGAAGAAGAAGGTGAAGAAGAAGAAGAAGGTGAAAGAAGAAGAAGGGTGAAGAAGAAGAAGAAGAAGAAGAAGGGTGAAGAAGAAGAAGAAGAAGAAGGGTGAAAAGAAGAAGAAGAAGGGTAAAGAATAAGAAGAAGTGTGAAGAAGAAGAAGAAGAAATGTGTGGAACTTAAAAGAAAAAGTAACAGGGATCCGATTGTAAGGTGTAAAATTTTTGAAAAGGCCAACCTACCACAAAATTTGCAACCTCTGCCAACAGAAAAAAAAAATAGCGATTATGACATTTCCGGATCCAAAGAACCTTTTGAACCAGAAATCCGAAGTCGCCCTCTCCTTGTTTACATATTAAAAAATTCCTCTTATGCATATATGAGGCTGAATTAAAAAAAAACTATGTGTATATTTCAATTACCCCCCTACCGATACACTTGCAATACTCTTGTTTCTTCTTCTTCTTCTTCTTCTTCTTCTTCTTCTTCTTCTTCTTCATGTCCTCGCCTCTCTTTCTATTACAAGAGTCGTGCATTCGCAACGCACAATATATTTCCTGTTTATACGTTATTTTTATAGATACGATGTTTTTAATTAAATTGTAATAATTGCATTAAAAACAATCAATACATTGTATCTATAAAAATAACGTATAAGCAGAAAATATATTAAATAATTGTCGAACTTAATCCATTTCAATATATATATATATATATATATATATATATATATATATATATATATATATATTGTCTTAATTCACTACTGAAGATGATCTCGTATGGGATTGAAATTACTTGAGAAAATAAAAGAAATGAAGAAAACTACGGCGCCTTCTTTAATGCATTTAATTTCAACATTAAGTCAATCAGAGAATTGAGACGATTAAATAAAAATAAATAGAAAATATGCCCAGATTATTCAATCAAATATGCTTGAATGAAGATATGCTGCCTAAATACACACACACACACACACACACACACATATATATATATATATATATATATATATATATATATATATATATATATATATATATATAAAATAAATACGTTATTTTTATACACACAAATATTTAACTAAATGCTCTGTTTATAATAAACAGTATTAACAACCTTTACCGGACTGAATGTCCGAAAATTTCATAGAAATCAGGCCAGTTAATAGACCATAAACAGAATTTTACTAGCAGGACAAATCTAGACTAATAAAACTAACAAAAACAGAACTAAGCCTAATCTCCATAAATATAATTAAAAAAAATAACCGATATTTACTAATCACAACCAGTACTAACATTTGGAAGGATTCTTCTGATTCTATTTAATGGTCCACTAACATGAGGAATAAGGATAAAGCGATATTCATTAAGTTTGATATAATTGACTTCTATTTCTCTGTCACTTGGGACCTCCTCGTCAATATCATCAACTTTGCAAAGAACTATATAGAAATAACGAATAATGAAACTAATATAATCTTAACGAAGTCACTGCTAACACTAAATAACTCCACCTGAACTAAGTTCTACAATGACAAATTCGATGTCCCCATGGGACCGTATGACTCAGCCCAAGTTGCTGATCTGGTATGTTTTTGCATTTTAGACCTGCTTAGTAGAATCGTAAAACCAGAACTAATAGAACTGTATGGGGATGACGGACGCATCCTAATCCCAAATAGTAATGGTCTACTAACAGCGAAATTACAAAAGAAAATTATCAGGGCCTTCAAATTCCTAGGGTTTAAGATCGAGATTTTCTCTAACCTTAAAATAGTTGACTACCTAGATATCGCCCTTAACCTTAATGATGAAACCTTTAAACCTTACCATAAAGAGTACGGAAGCCCCAATTCTATTAATGTTGGTTCTAACAACTCCAATGCAATCCTAAGACAAATACCCACTACCGTTTGCAACAGGATTAGGAAATTATCGTTCAATGAAAAAAATCTATAATAAGAAAACATAGCTATATGAAAAAGTCCTCCATAAAAGTGATTTAAAAAAAAATAAAGCGTGAAGAGGTCATTTGATAAAAATTGCCCGAGGATACATTAAGTTTGAAAGCAAAGTAGGGGATTCAAATAACCTCTTGATTTTTAAAGTTATATATATATATATATATATATATATATATATATATATATATATATGCACCACTGACCCGTATATATAAATAGCCGAGAAAAAAAACAACACTCGTGGCCTGACGATTGCGTCTAGCATGGAACAGCCTGTCGCTTCTAAGTGTTGACTTCAATGTTCACTTTTATATTTGCACACGCTCTATCTCTGATATTAAGAGCTTTATCCTATAAATATAGCACACCTTAAGAGTATATTTCTTCATATATATATATATATATATATATATATATGTGTGTGTGTGTGTGTGTGTGTGTGTGTGTGTGTGTGTGTGTGTGTGTGTGTGTTTAATTGAATAGAACTGACAGGACTCAGAGATTATGTTTTTTTCCAGTTTTTCTTGCATTCGTACAAGTGATTTCTTTTTTGTGCATATAATGTTTAAAAACTACCACAATGCTCTTTGGGACCTAGTGCATTCGAAAACGGTCTTCATGTTGCGGCCGTGTTTATAGTTGATATAATTGAGATTTAGCTTATTTGGCTTCTTTTATTTTTGTTATCGTTAATGTTTCCATTATCTTTAACATTTTTTTACATGAGGATAAATCTATTATGTTTGTATTTTCCACAAGTATGCTGTACAAATGCAAGAAACACGTATAAAAGGATTGCTGCCCAAATAGACAATTAGATACTTTTCATATTGTCTGACCTCAGATATATTCGATGTTGTATATCGATCAAACGATCTATTCTTTCATTCATCCAGAAATTATTTGATGTTTACCGGCAATAGTCATGAATGAAAGCAGAAGATGTTCTGTATATAACACTTTATATACAACTCCATGTACTGACAACAGGAGAGCACAATGAGTATGCAGCGGGGTGGAGAGGTGGTTGGTAATGGTTATCGGGTCGGAACGAGAAATTCGCCTGGCGCTTTCGAATTGACGCAGAGTTCGTCGCACCCACTTTCGCACAGATAACGTTGGAGAATCGATGAATACAGCTCTTTCCCCCGTCAAGGGCAGACTGGGCTCTCTATCCTTCCTTCTCGGAGAAGGACAAAACTGAATCTAAAACTGTATATATCTCAAGCGACTCACATAAAATGCAGCTAACGAAAGCTGATTCTCTAAGCATAGATATGACATAAGACCGAATGTATAGAGCATCTACTGAGGATCGAACTCTCTATTCATTCGCAATTGCAATGCAGCTAGCGAAAAGATGTTTATTTGGTCCCGATTTTGCTCTGTTGGATATCGGTTGAGGAAAGACATTTGGCCTTACTTCCGCTGCACCAGTGTGCGAGCAGAAATTGGAACTGGTGATAGCATGAGAAGGAAATGCATCCAGTGGCTAAAATAAACAGGACGTACAGGTACACTTAGCGTTGAATAAACAGGGTGCACAGATGTTCTAAGCGGAAGGAAGTGCTTGCATACATGGGCGCATGCCGGAGGAGGCGTGGCCACACGAAGTTGTGTAGGTGACATACCGGAAGAATGCGTAGCCATGTGAAGTTACGTAGGTGTCTAAATGTTATATGACCGGTCCGAATCTTGATCTGCATAGAGAGGCTGGCTAGAAGTTTACCGACGGCTTAACTCCGTCAATTCCTGTAACCTCTGCGATTCTCCCTCACTCTAACCATTCGCCGCAACTCGATAAATAATAATATATATATATATATATATATATATATATATATATAGGTGTGTGTGTGTGTGTGTGTGTGTGTGTGTATGTATGTGTGTGTGTGTGTTCGTCGCTTCATTTGAGACCAGCAGCAATATACAACAAGTCTGCCTTATGGATAGAATAAGTCATTTGTTGTAGTGGCTGTAAAATCCGAAATGTACAGAAACTCTATGTGTCTAATGACAAAATTTAAATTGCTATTTAAGTTGCATGATGATATAGAGATAGATAAGAGAAGAGAAATATATTTTTAAATGTTATGTCCTTTCAAGATGTAGGCGATCATGGCTCTTCCCACCTTCCTTTTTGCTTATTGTTTATGAATAGCTATGAATTATTGGGAAATATATTGGAATGGTTTCCCGATGCTTTTCTACGTTTATAAAATCAGAATAATAAGAAAATGTTTTCAGTGCCCATACCATTCACAACGTAGACGATCATTGTCTTTATTGGCAGTTAGGTCTCATCATTATATTGTCAAAAGTGTACAAGTAGGTTATATGCAAATAGTTACTTCTCTCGCACTTCTCGATTGCGGAACTCTCTTCCGACTTCTTGCTCTCCTGTTAACAAAGATCTTCAAAAATGTAAATGGAATATTAATTTTCACTGTCAGTTGTCTTGAATCTTGATCTTTTATTTTCCTCGCTTTCTTCAATAACGTTTTCTCACTTTCTTTCAATTTCAATAAATAATTGCGTCTTAGTGACTTTATCACCTTTATGGAGTGAAATTATTAAAAGAAAAATTGAATAAATACAAGCGAATCTTCTTTTACATGGAAGTTTAAGTATTCTACTATTTCAAAACTTCTTTATAGAAGTGAAGACCCTACTTATGAAGCAATTGTCGAATGGAGAGATCCTGACCTGGCATCTCGGCTTCAATTTCCGTCCCAAAGCTGTAATATAGCGTTCCTGTGGCTTTTCTATGAATATCTTCATTGTAATCGCTCTAATGAGCTTACATCTATGGTACCACGACTTTACCATTTGAAGCGCAGTACTACAGGGGGCCGACACTATTTTGGGGACACTTTGAAAAATGCGCTTAAAGGTGTTTTTTGCTGCCAAGAGCTTTTGTGTTGATGAGTAGGTAGTTCAGAAGTAACTGTCCATTAATGGTATGAACATTGATTGATGGGTTTGTCTTTGGTTTCATGTTTTCTTTGTTTTTGCTTCAACTTAGGCAACACTATTTTTCGGACATGACACAAATTCCGGATTTTTTAATGATTTTGTCGTCGAACGTCTACAATAGGCAACTTTTCTGCAGCTAAATGGTACCCTGACCATTACATTTGAGTATCTTTACCATTCACTGAGAAAACGTATTAAAATCCTGAAGAAGAATGCATTCAAAAGAAGTCATCAGTTTGGTCCCAAAGAATAGAGAAGACGGGCTTAGCATCCGAAAAATCGCCGCTGAGATGAAGCTACCGAAGTCAGCAGTTGAATACATGCTGAGTACAGACTATGAGCGGAAGAAGAAGAAGAGAGGACGGAAAAAACAATTTCCAACAGAACAGAAAGAAGAATGAAGAGGAGTGTTACGAGGTTGTTATCATCTTGAGAAAAGGTGACAGCGAAGAAAGTAAAGGAGAAGTGTGAACTTGACGTCAGTGTTCGAATTGTACAAAGAAAGCTACACGAAATTGGACTTAAGTATGCTAAAATCAAGAAAAGAATTACACTAACGAGAAAACACAAGGAGGCAAGGCTGGGAAGCGCCAAAAGATGGATAACAAACCATGTCGTCTTCAAGAAAGTGATATTTACTGATGAAAAACGTTTTAAGTTCGATGGACCTGACGGGTGGTGTACATGGTCGAGAAAAGGTGAACCTGTTATTCTCAACAAGAGACAGATGGGAGGAGGAGTCATGGTTTGGGGTTTGGTATTTCCGAATGGTAACTGGTGGCTCGAGTGGTTAAAAGGACGTCAAAATAGCTTGAGCTACAGAGAACTTTTGGAAAAGAGAGCCCTACCACTCATAGAAAAAAATGGGAAGTAATTTTATTTTGCAGCAAGATAACAGTAGCATCCATGTGGCCAAATCAGTGAAAAATCGGATGTGTGAAGCAAATATAACTCTGGAATGGCCTGCAAGAAGTCCAGAGTTAAATTTAATTGAAAACATATGGGAAATGCTTGCAGAGCTTGTTTACGACGGGCCAGAAATAACCAGAGAGGCTGAACTGTGGCAGCGCATACAAGATGCTAAAAATAGACAGCTAGAAACACGAAGAGACGTTATTATCAATATGTACGAAAATTATGAAGATAGACTGATAGAAGTCATTGAAAAAAAGGGTGCTGCCATAAACTATTAGCATTGTTTCTGCAATGTCCGAAAAATACTGTCGCCTGTGTAATGTGAAAATTTGTAAAAAAATAAAAATACTTCTAATTTGAATTCTGCTTTACCATTTGTAGTATTGAAAAGTTTTTAAATGCTATTGCCATTACACTAAAACAGTACAGACTGCCTGTGCTACCTAAAACTTGGAAAAATAAAGTGTCTGAAAAATAGTGTCGGACCCTGTAGATTGACCTCTTCCTTCCCTTTGACCCTCAAAAATTTAAAAGCGATGCCCATCGTAACTTTTTCTCTTCTTAATTTCCGTTCTTGTATTGTTCTCTTGCCTTAATAATGTTTTATTTTCCTCATATTCGTTCAAAATTAGTACCAAGTCTTGGTGGCTTTATTGCCTTGCTTGGATTGAAATGATTAAAAAATAATTCCAATTATATTATTCTGTCTCATTATATATATATATATATATATATATATATATATATATATATATCCCATATATAGTGTTATATACCGTACCTATGAACACTAATGGGTATGTTCCAATCCTCATAAGTACGTTGGATACTATTGTAAGTAGGAGTATTATAAGTTGTCTAAGTAGTCCACCACTAGCAGTGGTTTACCTACTTCACGCCGCTGAGGAGTATTGTATTTTTTTTTTTTTTTTTTGATGTTATAAAGATTGCCATTTCCTTTCCACCCTCCGTTTTAGTTATTCCTCATTCAGTAATACTTTGTAGGTTACAACACACAAACACACACACGCACACACACACACACACACATATATATATATATATATATATATATATATATATATATATATATTTTTTTTTTTTACTAGTTTAACAATTGAGAGGTAATGTGCAAAATAGCGATGACCCACTCGGTGGCGTGGTAACTTGGTTCAGTTAACGCGTACTGACATCGCTATCGAAGAGGGGTTCGTATATATAATACGCCACATATATCGTCAAGAATGCTTTCTTCATTTTTAGAAATTTAATTAAACTTTAAAAATTATAATTAAAAAAAAGATGTGGAATAATTCTTGTAATAATTCATTAGTAATGGAAGTTTTTTATTCATACTACATCTTTTATTTATATTATTTATGATAGCAATTGAAACTTTATACAATCAAATAATTAAATAGTTTTAATGCTGCTGTTATGTTACGATTCGGAGTATATGTTGTAAAATTTGGTAATAGCTTGAAAAAAAAATAAATTAAAAAAATATATATGATAATACGTCGCTCTTAGTAGGACGAGAAATAAGCAGACTTTGAATTTACAGTTTAAATCTACGGACTGCCAAAGATTACTGAGATCTTCCAAAGTTTACACAAAAAATATTATGCTTTGGGAACTTTTGCAGTAAACATAATTGGGGTTGTAAATATGTAACATTTATGAGGATAAAATACGGTATCTTTCCTGAGGTGCTTATAAATTGTACATTGTTCAATTATTAACGTTAACAACGAATTATTTTAAATTGCAAAATTGTACTTGGATTAAACGAAAATTATTTACAATATAATACATTTTACTTATAATACATTCTTTCCTGTCGTCACTTTTGACGGCACAGGAACACAAGTTATAATAATAATTATTATTACTGTTGATACCTAAGGAAAGTTACTGAATAAAATAATCAAATGAAGGTCGGTAATGAACGATAATACTTAGGACAAGAACAACGCATGTAAGATTCGCCAGCGGCGCGTAGAAGTAGTCAACTGCTAGAAGTGAGTCAAGTGAAATCCACAATGAATCTCCAAATACAGGATATCTACCAACCGTTCCATGCGGTCAGATGTGGCACAAGGCCGAATTTAATTTGGAGTATCCAAGCGCGTAGGCTCGGCCAGAAATTCTCCGTAGACCCCGTATAAAACGGGGTCGAGTAGCTGTTTCCCCGAGACAAGACTCTGCCTTTCGACATAACCTCGTCTGGGAATCCCCTATGCCCGGAGGTAGAGAGTTTGACCAGCACAGCTGGAGATGAAAATTCAACTGCTGGATATCTACCAACCTCCCCACGGAGTCAGATGTGACACAAGACTGAATTTAATGTTGGGTATACGAGCCCGTAGGCTCCACTAAAAATTCCCCGTATAAAACAGTAACTGTTTCCCAAGATGAGACTCTGCCCTTCGACATAGCCTCGTCTGGGGATCATCCCTACCCGAAGGCAGAGAGTTCGACCTGCACAGCTGGAGACGAATCTCCAACTGCAGGATATCTACCAACCGCCCCACGAGGTCAGATGTGGCCCAAAGCCGAATTTGATGCGGGCTATCCGAGCCCGTTGGCTCGGTCAAAAATTTCCCGTAGACCCCGTATGGAACGGGGTCGGGTAGCTGTTTCCCGAGACGAGACTCTGCTCTTCGTCATAGCCTTGTCTGGGGATGCTCTCTGTCTGGAGGCAGAGAGTTTGACCAGCACTGCTGGAGATGAATCTCTAACTGCAGACCAACATACAGTATTTACTACTGTATTTATGAGAATGGGGACATACCCATAATCGTCCGTAGGTATGCTACAACAATTATTATTATTATTATTATTATTAATTACAAGGGATACGCAGTTGAAATCTGCATGATGGCTGTCAACGGAAATAAAACTGCTGGATTTCTTACGAGAGGAAAGGAGTAAACATTTTATTTTGTATCGTCATTAGTAAAAGAAGCAGCCTTAGACCTGTGCGCCGAATTGGAGTGGTCCAAAGTCAAGGAAGTTCTTTAGATAACATTCTAAGGGTCGATAACCCGTAAATGCATTCTAAAGACAAAACAAAAGTATTATCAGAAAAAAATTAAAACAAACTGCTTTGTTATACCAATATTCATATATGGCAGAGAATATTGGATGATTTCGTTACAAAATACGAAAAACCTTAAAGCAATAAATATGCTTTCTACAGAAGGATGCTGAGAATATCAAGGACCAAAAATTAAGGTTTTAAAGAAGATGAAAAAAAGAAACTTGTACATATAATCAGAAAAATAAACAGTTGAAATTTCTGTGATATATAAAGAGAACATAGGGTTTGGAGAATGTGAAGGTCGAAGGACGTGATGAACACAAGAGATGCACAAGGAAACATTGAGCGACCGACTCAAAGAGAATCAGTTAATGAAAGAAAGAACAGACAGTGTCAGAAGACCAACATTACTAATCCTTAAGAAAGATAGGAATACATTACTAATCCTTACGAAAGATAGGAATTAGTGGGTTCCATGATCGGCCAGATATTGAAAGGGCGCACCAAATAAAGAGGATCACCGTTGAGATGGTTTTAAAAAGGGCAGATCTTTACTTTTCGATCCAGAGTTCCGTTGACCATTAGTGCTGTCGGGGCACAACATCTACCCCAGCCATAGCAGCAGAGTTGTTTCATGTGTAAGAAAACCTGGTTGAGCCCAACCATTATCTAGGCTGGGTTAAATTTGGAGCTATTTTCTTCTACTAAGGCTACAGAGCCCAAACTGTCCTGCTATTTACCCAGAGTTTAAAGAAGGGATGGATTCAAAACTTTCTCAAATACATTAGCACTAAAGCGGATGTAATGAACTCGACAGAAATTCAAACTCGGCTCTTTGATTTTTGAATCAGAGCTGCTATACATTACTCTTCCGTGCCTCCATACTTAACACCCGATTATCGTAATTTTGAAAAGAATGACCTTTATTCATTGGGATAATGGTTTCATTGCATTATTTGGTGTAAACGTGTTTTATTGGCTAGAAGACCTTATCAATCAAATTTCGGAATTTTGAAAAGAAAGGACCTACAATTATTTGGACAACAGTTTCATTATTTTATCTGATAAAAAGTTGTTGCATTGACTTGAAGACCTTATCAATCAACCTTCGGAATTTTGAAAGGAAGGACCTAAATTTAGACAACAGTTTCATTAAAGTATCTTGTGAAAACTTCTTTTATTGGCTTGAAGACCTTATCAATCAACCATAGAAATTTTGCAAAGAAAGGACCTTCATTCATTTGAATAATAGTTTCATTATTTTATCTTGTAAAAACTTCTTTTATTGGCTTGAAGACCTTATCAATCAACCTTAGAAATTTTGCAAAGAAAGGACCTTCATTCATTTGAATAATAGTTTCATTATTTTATCTTGTAAAAACTTCTTTTATTGGCTTGAAGACCATATCAATCAAACTTAGAAATTTTGCAAAGAAAGGAGCTTCATTCATTTGAATAATAGTTTCATTATTTTATCTTGTGAAAACTTCTTTTATTGGCTTGAAGACCTTATCAATCAACCTTCGGAATTTTGCAAAGAAAGGAGCTTCATTCATTTGAATAATAGTTTCATTATTTTATCTTGTGAAAACTTCTTTTATTGGCTTGAAGACCTTATCAATCAACCTTAGAAATTTTGCAAAGAAAGGACCTTCATTCATTTGAATAACAGTTTCATTATTTTATCTTGTAAAACTTCTTTTATTGGCTTGAAGACCTTATCAATCAACCTTAGAAATTTTAAAAGAAAGGAGCTTCATTCATTTGAATAATAGTTTCATTATTT